TGTTGGGCAAATGTTGGTATATGGTTGGTTGGTTGGCCAACGGTTTGACAACATTGGAACAACTTTATCTTAATGACTTAAAAGTAACGGTGGCTTTGGACACATTGGCCCAACAGTGGGCCAACATTTGAAAAACTCTGCCTACTTTCCCTGATCTTACATCTATTTCACAAAGTTGGCCCAGTATTGTGAATAACAGAGTGAGCACTCGGCCATTTTAGCCATGTTTTCGTATTAAGATTTTGATGAAAGTTGAAATAATTACAGAGAAAAACGTAAGAATCAATTTCGCTGTCTTTTAACTATGATGCAGTGAAGTTTACAGCATTGTCTTCTCCAAATTGAATACCAAACTTGTCATCTTTGATCGCTTCACCTGATATTCAAAGAGCAGACGACACTACATTTATGGAGGCCTTCGATTGGTAAATATGCATTGTTAGTTCTGTGGTACTGAATTGTGAATATATTGGGAAATAACTGGAAATCATCATTAAAGTTAAAGAAACTGAAACATACTGTATTGAAAGAAAATTGATTGAGTAGATAAAAGATTTAATTGACGTTTTTCTTTAGGTAGCCTGTTTAACCAATTTGATAAATCTTCTTTCATTTTAAATTATTTAAATTTATTGTATTTACTTTATTAGCATTATGTGTCTGTCAGTTGATTGATTGAAACATATTTTATTCAATTAAGAAACGGATTGGGCACAAGTTATCCAACTTAAATAAGCCCTCTCCACATAGTTACAAGTGTATATTACAAAAAAGTTCAACAAGAGGCAGACAAAGGGTATAGATATGTACAGACAGAGTTATTTAAATCGTTTAGTGTTATGGATGTAGATATGTACAGATTTAAAAAACATTCTGATTTTCACTAAGCGAGAGACCTGCATTGCCATTTAAGATGAGATTAATATCAATACATGCTCTATCATTCACTATATTTTCTAAAGAGGTTAACATTTGTTCTCTTGAATTATATATAATGGACATTCAAGAAAATAATGGAAAGCATTTTCACAATTATGGCCACACTGACAAAGTGCATCATTTCTAACATTAATTCTGAATAAATCATAATTAAGTGTACTTGTCATATATCTTAATCTTGTATGCAAAACATTTAGTTTCCTTCTCCCATATAAGAAATATACGGGTGTACATTTTTGTTTCACATGAACTGCAGTTTTAAAAGACACAAGAGATTTACAGTTTCTGATAGTTAAGGGTATGTTATTCCACAGTTTAATTGTTGATGGAAAAAAGGATAGAGTCGAATATCGTAGTCTTGTACGGGGTTGAGTGTAATTACTGGAGTTTCTTAATTCATAATTTGTTCGACTACCTACTACAGGAGGGAGTAAATCATAAAGAAAACTTGGAGCAAGGCCTGTATGTATCTTATAAAATAACGATAATTGTTTCACCCTTCTTCTCTCAGATAGTAAATCCCATCCCGTTTCAGTATAATGATCTAGAAGAAGCATATCTCTGCAGACCAGTAACTATACGAGCCGCTTCAAGTTGTAACTTTTCTAATCTATTAGATTCTTCAATAGAACACCCGTCCCATACTTCAGATGCGTACTCGAAATGTGGTCTTATGAATACAGTATATATGCTTGACAATGTTGTTCTATTCAGGAGAAACTTTAACTTTCGAAATGCTCCAATCATTTTAGAAGTCTTTTTAACAATACTTTCAATATGATGGTGCCAACCCCCATTACATGAAAATGTTAGTCCCAAATGTTTATGAAAATCAACTGGTTTTACATGACAATTGTCAAATTTCAAATTAATCTGTTTGGCCATCTTTCGTCGTAAATGGCATAGCTTCCGTTTTGTCCGGATTATAAGAAATTAGCTAGTCCTTTGCCCAATAACATAATATTTGTAGATTTTCATTAATTATTCCTTCCATCAACTGCTTTTCTTTTGACAAAGCTCCCAGTGACGTGTCGTCAGCGAAAAGCCGAGTTATATAATGTAGTTTATCTGCTATCTCATTTACATACACAATGAAAAGAAAGGGACCTAGAACTGATCCCTGTGGAACTCCTGCTTTTAAAACCAAAGGCTTAGATAACGAGCCATGTACAGAAACTGATTGATTGCGACACTTACATAACCATCAAACCAATCAAATAACTTTCCACTTACTCCGTACCTCTCCAATTTAAGCATAAACCCTCTGTGCCAAACTCTATCAAAGGCCTTAGATACATCGCAAAAGACCATACAATAGTGTTCTTTGTTATCGAGTGATATACAGATTTGGTTATAAATTTCAACAAGCTGTTGTACAGTAGAGTGGCCTCTCCGGAATCCACATTGATATTTATATAAAAAAATCATTTGACACGTAGTAATTGTAAATATGTTTAAATACAACTCTTTCAAACAGCTTCCCAACACAACTTATAAGTGAAATAGGGCGATGATTTGATACAATTGAGTGATCACCCTTCTTGAATAGGGGCATAACATTTGGGTATTTCCATTGGCTAGGATATACTGATAAAGTAAGTGACATGTTAAATAATATACACAGTACTGGGCTTATAGACTCGGCCATTTTCCTAAGTAGCTGATGACTAATCCGGTCTGGTCCAGCAGCTTTCTTGAGAGGTAGACATTTAATTATGTCGGAGATCTCATTAACTTCTATTGTAATGTTATCTATAACGGCATCCGTGCGCCTGTCAAAATGTGGTATAGATTTGTATTGATTTAACATGTTGGCTTTATCTACATCTGAAGAAGCTGATGGACTTTCCTCAATAACACTTCTTTTTAGAGCGGGAATAGTAGAAGCGGAACCTGACGTCTTGATCAAACTGCGTAATATTTTCCAATATGATGATTTATTTTCTCCATAAAGTTCGAATAAAAACTCATCAAGATTAGAATAAAAATGTTCTTTTGCATAACATTTCATGTTATTAACTTTATTTCGTTGTTTTTTGTACTTTAAAATATCAGACTCTTTCTGTGTTCTGATGGCTCTTTTCCGTAGTCGATCCCGCTTCCTACTTTCACGTCTAATATTTGAATCATACCATGGTTTGTCATTAGGTCTTATCATCACAATTCTAGAAGGAATACATTGTTTGGTATAATCATTAAAACGTTCATAAAATGCACAGCAAGTATCATCAACATTAGAACAGTCACTAAACAATGACAACCAATCAGTATTGCTAATAAGTGCGTTCAGCTTCTCATAGTCACCATCTTTGTAACACCAGACCTTTCTAGGATATGCAATCTTAGTTGACACATGCACATCTAGGCTGACAAACGTGCCTTTGTGATCACTTATAGTTCTGTCAAAATCGATAACACCACTTTCTACAACCTCAACATCATCACTGACTATAATTGGATCTAGTAGTGTGCTGGTTGTCCTCGTCACCCTAGTAGGTTCTGTTATAACGTTACATAAGTTATTTCTGTTTAGGATATCTGTTAAGTTAAGTTTAGATACAGAAAGTAGGTTTTCATTCAAATCACCAACAATAGTAACTTTACTTGAAATAGCTAAAGCACCTTCGATACTATTATCGAATCTTTCCAAAAAAATAGATGTATTATTTTCTGGTCTATAAACTGTACATAAGATGAGTGGTTTTTGTGGAAGCGATAATTTAACCCAAATGGACTCACCAAATATGTTTTCTAGATTGTAAATTCTATCAAAGCTTAGATTCTTAGAGATATACATCATTACACCACCCCCGAAAGAATTTCTGTCTCTTCGTATCGGGTCGTGAAAATTTTCCCAGGCTAAAGTTTCATTATCAACACTTATATCTAGATGGGTCTCAGAGAAACATACTATATCATAATCAGATAAAACTTCGGACAGATAAGATTGCTTATTACGTATACTTCGTGCATTCAAGTGAAAAATCGACAACATCTTTCTGAACAATAGGACCTGGGTTAGGCTCTACGTCACCAGCAAGCTGAAGTAACAATAGAATAATCAAGGTTGCTCATGGGTCGTCCACAGAGTGTGTGCACTGATGCAGAGGTGCTCCTCCACTTTCACAAACTCTCCGCTGTTTTCCTCATGTCTGCAATGTCCGCATACCAGCGCCTCATCACTATACAAAGTATGACCAGCAACTGACAGTCAAGTCACTCCAAATCAACATTCATGCTAGTTTACTAATATCAAACTTTCAGTAAATTAACACCTCTTACTTTCGTTGTACATACTCCCACTGTCAATTGATGTAATCAACATCTGATCTCCAATCCAAGGAGGAAATAAATATGATGATGAAGGTTATGTTGACATTTGTAACTTGTGATTGAAGCAGACACAGAAATGTAAGCGCACAGCAAGCTTTCAATTCTAACAATACTAAATTGCACATAGCCTCTGCTTCAACGCGCAGTAAACTGAAAAGTACTTTTTGTTAACAAGTAGGATACATTTCTTGAGATTTCTAGAGCATTTGAGATGTCTGAACAACCCGATCGCCGCACGGTATTGCGTTACGTCATTACCCATATGGCTTGTTTACTTCGTGTTGATAGATGATACGTGTGCGGATATTAGATCTGGTTATTTGCAGGCATGTCAATGAATATACTTGTACATGATGGCATGGCAATGCAGGATCTCTCAAAGGTTCTAAAGAAGATAGATGAACATAGAATTTATACAGTGATTCAGTGATGGATACAGATGTACACGGAGATATAGTTTGTGGAATATAAAAACGAAAGGTGAGATAAAGAATAGTATATACAAGCAATAATGCAAACATAAACAAGTAGTGAGATAAACTATTGTGTGTTGATATACTAGATACAATTCATAAATAGAAATATTTTACATACTTACATACGTCTGAATTTCTACACACATACAATCCAAACATGAATGTGAGAACACGAGATAGTCGCTAGTGTCGCCTGAACTTGTCCAGGTCCGACTCACGCTGAATCACACGAATAGCTCCTTCACACTGTTCACAGATATACACTCTCCCATCATATGTCCAGGTGGAATATATCTTCTGATCCTTCCTCGGGTCTCTGGCCAACTTGAACAAGTGATTCCTGTGCTTAGTCAGATGCTCGTTGATATAGATACCGTCTCGTTTACCTTGGAGTTTGGACTTGTTCTTGATCACCTTGTTGCGGTCCCAGTAGCTCACAAACTTCACCACTACACTCCTGTTCTGACCTCGCTGTCTTTTCCCCACTCTATGGCATCTGTCGATGTCTGATGGTGAGATATCCGGGTGTACATCCCTCAGCACATCTAGTACAACCTGGTCAATGTCCTCTTCCTCCCGTCCCCAGTCAGGCTCCTTGATTCCTGCGATCCTCACAGAGTTCCTCCGACTATACTGCTCTAACTCGTCGGTCTTGAGCTGCAGTTCGTCTCTCAACTCCTGTATCTCCTGCTTGAGGGGGTCTGTCAGTTACACTCCTGTTTCCATATATACAACTCTATTATTCATCTTTAAAACCAATAATTGCTAAACATCATCATACCAGATATATGTGTCACAGTTATAGTAGTTACACGTCATATCCAAACAAGAAGACAAACTCATCAATATCCCCAGCAACGGCAAAATACTCTATATGAATATGTCTACTAGTTATGATTATGTCAAATGTTTTGGAGTGTATACAGCAAAGTGGAAGGAGAGTATTTAAAGGTTTTTAAGATCTGCTCCAGAAAGGAGCGCTACCACCAAAGTTGAAGCCTAACTTGTTGCCATGGAAATGCAACAAGATGACATCCTCATAGTCACAGCCTAAATCATGTTTCCATGGAAACCACAAAAAAATAAAATTCGCATCTGGGTCTAAACCCCAAAAGGCACATCTAGGGGTCATGCTTGACATATGTACCAAGTTTGATGAAACTAGCGTGTATACTTTGGGAGATCTGCTCCGGACAAGATGACATCCTCATAGTCACAGCATAAGTCATGTTTCCATGGAAACAGCAAAAAATGAAATTCATATCTGGGTCTAACCCCCCAAAAGGGACACTTAGGGAACGTGGTTGACATGTGTACCAAGTTTGGTTAATCACAAATAGTGTAGGAGATATGCTTCGGACAAAGTGTGACGAACGCACGCACGGACGGAACTCGTTTCTATGTCATAAATAAAACATTGTTTGATCAGCATTCTAGAAGTTGGTGACTCAAAAAAAACACATACAACTTTATGGATGACAACTTCTTGTATATTGCATACAGCGACGTTCCGATGTAGATTCTTACACCGTTATCAAGCTAAAGGTGACTACAACCAAATGATGAGAAGTATTATACAAACATATGTTTTGACAAATAGCAGATTGACATAAACAACAATAAACAAGAAGTTATCAATCATAAAGTTGTATGTTTCATTTTCAAACCAAAACATAACGTCAAATACTATGTTCTTTTACGATAGATCTCATGTCTAAAATTATGATATCTGACAGTTTCATGAATTTTTTTTTTTTTGGGGGGTGGGGGTTGGGGGGTGTCAAGAGCAGTTTGAAAAAAACATGTCAGCGGCCACACAGCCTTAAAGACCAAAGACAAGCATATTTTCGGGAAATGCAATATTGTTCAAATAAAAATGAAAAGAAAGAATTAAATGGTTCACTTGATTAATTTGTTGTGTTGTTTATATATGTTTCTGATTGCAGAGGTCAGGAAAGAGCTAAATGTTGAAACACGGTGGTGTCAACATAAGGCCAACTAAATCACTACGTTGGGCCAAGTATGGGCCATGGTTAATCGTGAATTTTCATTCGTTGGCCCAACAATGAGCCAACATGATGGGCCACCGTGGAGCCGATGAGCATATCCAAGTGGGCCCATCGTCAGTCTGACAACCATGGACCAACCAAACCGGTGATTATGGGCCAACTATGGGCCAACATATCAATGCTATCTGGGGACAAGCAGACTGAAGACCAATTCTAACCCTGATCTTCACAGGATGTGTGATGTGGGATTTTTGGTCATTTGTTGCACTGTTTTAGCTATTTTTATAATTAAATGTGGGATTTTTTTATGAAGATTGTGGGGTGTGGGATGTGAGTTTTTTATCTTAGCTAATTACTGCATTGTTTTAGCATTGTTTTAGATGATTTTCTATTATCTGTCCGAACGGATGCATTTTCTGTCTACTCAAATGGCGTAAAATCGTACTCACTCACTCGTGTTTGTGTTGTTGGGTGTCGCCCTACATGTATCAACAGCAACATACTATAATTGATAGTGTTGGTATGTAAATTATCACATCTGGACTAGACAAACAATCAAATGACTGACATCATGAGCCTCGATTCACGCAATTGGTATGCGATGACATGCATCAACTGTGTAAATATTTAACAGGGCTGAATTCAGGCAATCGTGGTTTATTGTCTGGCACTTGTCTTCACATGGATGCTGCCATTTAACATAAAATACATTGTCTACAACGAGCCACAAGCATGCGCTCAATGGTCTAAGGGAGATAACTCCACATCAACCAAGTCAGCGAGGATGACAACCCGAGCCGATACAGCGCCACAACTTCTCGTGCGGACGGTCTCAGTCGTAGGTCACATGTCACTAAGACAAGCAACCAGTTTTGTGGGTTACAGGCTGGGAAAACCACATTTCAAAACCAGACAGCCAAATTTGATGTGGCTTATGTCCCGGCAATAGTTATGGCTGCATGAGTGTGGAATGTGGCTCTCCCGGCTATGCAGTGAAAACATGCTTAGTGATTCAAATAGGTTACCGTATTTAACAAAACAAGACATGTTTCCTCGGTATTTTCTTTCACGGGGGACCCGTGAAGGTCCGGATTAGAATATTGATCTTCAGTAACCCATGTTTGTCGTAAGAGGCGACTAACGGGATCGGGTGGTCAGGCTTGCTGACTTGGTTGACACATGTCATCGGTTCCTGATTGCGCAGATCGATACCCATGCTGTTGATCACTGGATTCTCTGGTCCAGACTCGACTATTTACAGACCGCCGCCATATAGCTGGAATATTGCTGAGTGTGGCGTAAAACTAAACTCACTCACTCTTTCACCGAGAATGCTCTTAGACCCAAAACTTAAAGCCATCATAGTACAAATGCCTGCCTCCTCTCCCACTCTCAATGAAGCTTAAATTCGAACTTGTGCATTTGCCATGGTTCCGACATGGAGTGAACAAGAAGCCACTTATATATGTTATGGACTGACTGACTGACTCAGTGTCAATTAAGTGTGAATTAAGACCGCCTTTAGTTTCTAAAACCACCACGCTTGTGGCACGCCCTGGACTGGGGTTTACTGAATCCTTATGAAAACAATAATATAATAGGGACACTCTTTTACCGGGTACGGTAATCCATGTATTAATTAATTTATGAGAAATGTGGTTTTACCGGCTATACAGCCCGTTACGTGGGGAGATATTACTTGAGTAACCTCTGTGGGAAGAGAATGGCTACAGCCATGTCCGTCGGACTTTTCACAAATTACGTCATAGGTATTGTGATGTAATTTGTAAACTTTGTGGTGCTGGGCCCCGTTTCACAAAGCGATCGTAGCGCTACGACTGTCGTAAGTCTAGGTATGGGAGTTACGATCACCTTAGCGCTACGATCGCTTTGTGGAACGGGGCCCTGTATTCTAAAAGTAGGCCGTCATAACTTACGACAAACGTGGTTTGCAACTTGCAAGAGGTCCTTTCTTGCGCGGATCTTCCCGGGGATGGGGCGTAGCTACATAAACAAGATAGCCCGGGCTTGCACGTGATTGTTGCTAAGAAGATTCGGCAAGCTCTCAATAAGATCTAAACAAACATTTGCTACCTATCGGGCTTACACGAAAAAAATGGCTTGCTACGGCTCCTACGTAAATACAAATATACAAACGAACGATGTACCGGAGACTAACAGCTAGTCTCTGTAATGAACTTATTTTACAACAAAGGTTTTTAAATTGAAATAAAATACAATAAAAAGGCGCCCAGAGGCTTTCTTCATTTTCAGAACCGTTGTAATCTAGACTTGCCACACATCTAGACTTGCATGCGCTGCATTGGGTATATTTGTTTCAGGGTCTGTATGGCAGACTAGATGTAACCCCTTTGTCCTGAAAGTTTATTAAATGACCATTGAAACTCTCGCGAAAATGAAGTGTGTACGGACCCCACACCCCTCCAACAGGCTTGCCCTCATATCGCCTACACCTCATTTCGCCTACAGTAATTATAATGGCCAGTTCTACCACCCCTATCATAATAATGGGTATTACCCAACTGGCTGTTTAAACAAATAGATCTTGTACATTGTCTGTGTGACATGACTTACTCATCTACTTCCATTGCTTGTCTCGTTATGTTTCTTTCTGTCTTTCTCAAGAATGTGTCCCCCTACTTCTCAAATAATTTTAATTGTACACCTGTACTTAGGGGGCAACAATTTTGTATCCCGGTGTCAGGGGTTTTCGACGATGTAAGACAAAAACGTATTTTTTATCTGTAATATCATTTAAAAGTTTGTATTTTACTAACCTTGAGCAGAGACCATATAATAGATTTATTATGGTCTCTGCCTTGAGTGATAAAGGATATATTCATCTATTTCACACAAAAATATCAAGTGTTCCCTACAAAAATAGCGTTGATGAAATCGTATCGGCGAAACTGTTGCCGCTCGTAACATCCGGGTATTTTGTATGGGTTTTCCGCACTGCAAGGGAGTGTTGTGATCACGTGGCTTCCTATTTATATCTTGCCTGTCACCAGCAGACGACTGATCTAACTGAATTTTCGCTTGCTATTTTTTGTTATAAAGGGAACTGATTTTGCATCGTAAGTGGTATTAACGATCTCGGGTAAATAATATTGATGTTTGTTTGCTTTTTATATAACTTTTAATACTTCCCGATTTCCATTGTCAATAAAACTTCTCACGACAGCGACTTGACACCCGCCCTACCAGTGAAACTCTTTGTGCACTCCGATCGCACACGTACTCCCCCGATATAGCGCGTGCAATGCAATCGTCGAAATCACCAGAACGTCGAATTCAGCTCGTGTTGGGATACATATTAATAAAAAAAACTATGCTTGAAAAGTAGGGGAGGGGGATTGATTGTGTACATGACATGCATGGCCCTGGGGGGACTTACTTTGTACATGCAAGGGGGGGGGGTGTCATCACCCCTCAAGCCATAAATTATGTACGGTCCCTAATGATTGGAAAGGGTACCTTTACGTGTAAACCTAAGGATTGTAAGGGTTGTTTGACTCTAAAGATACGTCAGCTCCCTCAGGATCGGAAAGGGTACCTAACCCTAACCCCAAGGATCGTAAGTAGACTGGCAACGAAGGGAGCCGGAGCAATGTACCGCGGTATAGCGAGACAGCGCTGGATCGCAGTAACGCTATAGAGCGATAATTGCTCCGCAGCGAGCCGCGTGGGCAACGCCCTGTAAAGAGCACTCCAGCTTAGAAAAAGTATTCAAGAGTTGACTGTACTATATCGATATATTCCGATTATGATTTTTTCCTTTTTTCTGATAGACTCTGATAAATGCGGGTAGATCTAGTATCTATCTTATAATGCAATCGCATATGTATCCTATTTTATAACAAACCTTAAAGTATCGGTAAGTAATTTGTCAACTGGAATGAATAAGTCGATGTTAGCATGAGCTAAGATTCTGACGAAAATGTGCATGGGTGCACTATTTTCGGTGATATCACTCATCGTGTCAATCGTGTCATCAAACTTTTGTATGGATAAACGAGTTTCGGATCCGGTACGCCTTTCAAATCAAACACAGTATTCTGTGATAGGTTTCAGTCCAAAACACAAACACAGTTTAGAAGACATGGCTGGTTAAGGATTTATTTAATTATAGAAAGTGAGATTTCGTAAACGCGATGTACTATTTGTTTTGGATGTGCACATGTTTGACCTAAATGTACGCGCAAGAAGTCAATGTTGACAGTGATGCTGAGCCTCTTGCTATATTGAAACGAAGGGAGACTTTCCTTCTCCGAGAAATGGAATGACAGCGGATGTGGTACTGATACATGACGAGGGCACATCGCTTGTATGTATTTGTCAAATATTCATTATAGTTCTTATTTGACAAGACAAGTCTTGTGTCTGTGGCGGAGTGTGAGGGAACTATGCACTGACCGAAACAAAACTTTCGTGACGAACTAAACAACAGTCAGTGCTGTAGAAGCTGTAGGGAAGAAAATGCAATTGATACAGTAGAACATCGTTATAGCAAATCATATATGACTATGGCGAACTAACCAAGTTCATACTTTGTTGGGGATTTTAACTGGAGGACTGGTAACGAACCCGATTATCTGATAGATCTATGCTGTTGATTATCTCCCCTGCGATTCGCAGTACAAAACAGATGATTTTACGCATTCCCGCGCCGCCGTTGTCAATTACTATGGTGGTTATTTACTTGAAATCTGTAAGCAATTTAATGTACATATTGCAAATGGCCGTGCTGTGAGCAATACACCCAGTAACTACACATTTCTTTCACATAGAGACTGCAGTGTTGAATGTGGACTAATTTTA